GCTGTTGCCACGCGCTGCTTTCCGCTTCCTCGGCAGGTTGTCTTTCTCAGGGTGCCAGAGGTGTCTTTAGGGTACCAGTGCTGGGATCCAACCTGCTCCGGGTTAGTCTCTTTACCCATCAGAAATGACTGCTGGTCATGAAATGCCTCCTCCTTTTACGTTAAGTGCAGGATGCTGCTCTGTTGTCTTTACTGGAGGGTTATTTTGGTGACCTGCAGTATGAAGGAGATAAATCTATTTATTTATTTTGTCAGGGAATACATAAAACTCTTGACATGTCGTTTTGAAAACTAAATACTGCAAGGTTTTTTTTTTGTTTTTTTTTTTACAGCTTCATGTGGGATTCTGTGCTTTTTAGAGATAGGAGCAACAATGTCATGAGCTCTGTAATAATTTTTATGTACTTAATATATGTGCATGGTCATCCTTGGCATGGTGTAATGGGATAGTTGAATTGCAAGTCGTCTTGCACGGGTTTTATATTGGAGATGTAGGCTTTTTAAACCTTTTTAACCTTTGGTTCAGTATGAGCTGGCTGCTTTTGATGCAGTTTAGGGTTGTGATGAATGTTAGTAGGTACTAGCTACTACTCCAGTTATGGTTACAGTGGGCAGTGTTGAGTGTTTAGTAATAAAGCATAATGGTTGTGTTGTTGTTTGTTTTTTTCTTTTCCATTAAAAGCCTTGCTGAAGTAACTGTGCTGTTCCTTAGATATGTTTTATAACTTGTGTAGACAGTTATGCCAGCAAATGCCCCAATACTGATACAGCTTTATCTTTAAAAAATAAAATACAGCAGTAGCACGAAGCAAAATACAAGATGTAGCAGTTTGAACTTTGCTAGCAACGAGCTTTTTGGTTCAGATGATGTGTGGGTTCTAACTTTGCACTGAAATTGTGCTTTCAGGAGTCAAATATGTTGCAGGTGCTGGGCTGTGCTGCTGAGTTCACAAAAAGCAAAGTTATAAGCAATGTGAACTGCTATAACAGTGTGAACTGTTACCATGTTCGCAGTGGTTCCCTTAACACCACATTGTTTTGTTACTGCACCTTGAAGTGGGTATTCTATCCTGTGTTCTGCATATATCAAGTTGTAAGTTTTGGTGGGTTGTTTTCTTGGCGTGAAGGAATTTTCATTGCTATTCTCTGTATTTGTTGCCCCTGTTTTACAATCACTTGCTTAGAATGATACTGAGATGTTGAAGCTCTTACTTTTTATGAGTCTTTTGAAAGTGATTGCAATCTTCTAGACCTGTACTTGTGGTCAGCCAGGAGTTTCATGGAGTAGTTTGTAGCATAGTCTGGAGTGTTCCTGCTGTGCTGTCAATGGGTGGTAACCCAACTGTAAATTGTGTTTATGTAAAAAAATAAAAGGCTGTGATGTAACTGGGGACTCAATGTTCTCAGGGTGTTAGTAGCATGGAAGAAAATCCCTGAAGCAGCACTTTGAAAACTAAGCCCTTTTCTGAAGTCAATATTTAATAATCCATGCTGTGGAGTGCATCACAAGACTTGTGTCTCTGATGAGATTCAATACTTTGTTTTTTTACAGCTTAGCTAGGGCAGCAGTTGTTCATTGATCTATAAAAATAAGTTCATAGTTGTGTGCTGCTTCCTTAGGTCTGTCATTTGGGATGTCATCTCTGGTTCAGCTCCAAAGCAAATATTGAATCAAGTCTAAAGATTAACATTGTCACTTAGCATGACTAGAGATCAATGTATAATAAAAATACAGTGTATGTTTTGCAGGTCCAAGAAAACTCCCCAGCTCAACAAGGAGGACTGGAACCTTTCTTTGATTTCATCATTGCAATAGGACACACGAGGCTTGTAAGCTTCAAATTATTTTTATTGTTCTGTGTTTGTTGTTTTTTTCCCCCCTGCATGAAACACGGGTGTTGTAAAGATCAAAGGTAGAAGCCAGAGCTCTTGTATGTGGTATGAACAAGGTAAAGTAAAACTTCTTTGTGTTCAAGGTTTCAGACTGGATCCAAATTTGAGGAAACTCTTTATGCCTTAGCCACCTTGACTTGTTACAGATTAACACAATGTTTATGATATTACACATTCATGCATATTTTCTGCCACAAAGTGAATGCTGAAGTGGTGAGTCAATTGCAAGAGCTCAACATTTGTTTAAACAAACTTATTTCAACATTTGATAAAACATGAGAAAGAATCCTGGCCTGCCTGCTTATGCTTAAGGCTGGAAACACAGTTCCTGTATGTTGATTTACGAGAGAGAAGAGTCGAGTTTTGGTTTAAAAGGCTGCCAGCTTTGGCTTTGTGCTTCATCCTAGCTTAATACAAGCTGAATTAATTAACTCTGCCTTGCTTTTGTTAGTGGAGGTGTCTTTCTGGAAATGATAATTATAATAGTAGATTTTGGTGGAAGACCAGTCAATCTTTAAACATGACAAAAATAATGATAGTTCTCTCAGCTGCTCCCAAGTAGTCTGTCCTTTCAAAGTCAGTTTGTGATGACTTTGAAGGGTTGTTGAGAGAGGTCTGGGATCAGAGGAATTAAGTAAAATGTTGCTTATTGTTACAATTACATAGTTGTGATCTAATATTGCTGATGTTATTTAATAGCAGTTATGAAGAAGAGGAAAGTGATGGAAGGAAGTAATAGTAAGTACTTTAATAAAGGGATATGAGCTGACAGTATTAACTTATTTCTAACAAAAGAACACAACTGCTGGGACTGATCATGAAACACAGCCTAAACTTTTACAGTGTTGGTTCCTTGTATTCAAATTCTGCCACAGGTGTGACATGTATGTTACACATACAACTAGAAATGGTAATCATGTATCTCTGTCTGTGCTTTCCAGAATAAAGAAAACAACATGTTGAAAGATCTGCTAAAGGCAAATGCTGAAAAAGCAGTGAAGCTGGAGGTGTACAACATCAAAACAATGAAAATAAGAGAGGTGGAGGTGATCCCCAGTAACATGTGGGGAGGACAAGGTCTTCTTGGAGCCAGCGTGAGGTTCTGCAGCTTCCAAGGAGCTAATGAACACGTGTGGCACGTTTTGGTGAGACAGAATTATTTGGCCCATTAGTGTTCATACAACCTTGTTTTAAAGTGTAACGTTTGGAAGCAACTTGCATGTAGAAGTACAATGCTGGAATTGCACAGAAGAAGGGAACACAGGCTTGACAGCTTGTCTGAGCTGTTTGAACAGGGACGAGCAGTGGGTGACTTAGTGTTTGCTGCTGTGAAGAAAATTAACTTAATCCCAACCAACCCACTCTATCCCAATCAGTATGTGATGGGGAGAAGGTTTCTTCATCTTATATTGAAGAATCAATGACAAAAGGAAGAAAAGATCTGTTTTGACAGGTGTTTCTGTGTTGGCTAAACTTCATCAAAGTAATACCAATGTTGGAAAAAAGCACCAAAATATTTCAAAATTAAGAGGGAGAGCTGAAAGAGTAGAAGAGCCTAGGAAAGACTGATAGGATCTTTTGTTATGTTTCTGGTTGTTTAAATAAATGCAACTTCTCAATGTCTTCAGAGTATCTCATGTTGCACTGGTATTATCTTGGACTTTCTTATTCAGCATATTTTGAAAGATGTTAAGCCTAGATGGTGTCACAGAACTCCTGTTCAAGGACTTCTGTTTTATCCCATAAACAACATAATCTTGCCTTTTGTTGTTTTTGGAGTTAGCTTTCCTTTTTCACCTTGAGGTTGCTTATCCTGCTGCAGTTGCAGGATGACCTGTTGCTTTTTCACAGGATGTTGAACCTGCATCTCCTGCAGCTCTAGCTGGTCTCCAGCCATACACTGACTATGTTGTTGGATCTGATCAGATTCTTCAGGAGGTAGGGCACATGTTCCTTCAAGCAGTGACTGTCTTAATGCCTGCCATCTTGTAGGTTGTTGGAGTTTATAAATCTAAAAGCATGTACATGAAATGTATGGGGATAGTGTTTGGGGATTTTGGGGAAGTTGATGTTGATGACAGATGCTTTATGGCTGAGTAAACATTATCTTTTTGTAATGTGACAGTAAAAAAAAAAGTTGTCGCTAAGGATCAAACTACAGTGGTGATTTTTAGTCTGTCTCAGGGTTTTTAGTATCTCATATTGAAGTAAATAACTGTAAATTTCTGATTTGTTCCCAGTTCCTTGCCTTGCATGTTCAGGTGTACTAACTACTACTTTCTTTTTTTTTCTTAGTCAGAGGATTTCTTTTCACTGATTGAATCCCACGAGGGGAAGCCACTGAAGCTGATGGTTTATAACACTGAAGCAGATTCCATTCGAGAGGTAGTTGTGACTCCCAATGGAGCTTGGGGTGGAGAAGGAAGGTACTGATCTCTGGAGAGTCACTGCCTGATGACAGGTTATATACTCACTGTAAATGAGCTCTTGTTAAGAGTATTGTTACTATTGACTACAGCTTTCTGTTTTCAGGTGAAGCCTTGTGTCCTTACACTTGCCACACAAAAATGTTCATCTTCCCATTAAAAAAAAACACAACAAACAACTAGCTTAGAAGTAAGAATTAGGCATGTTCTGGATGTAACCCTGTTTGAGTTGAAACCAGTGGCAACACCTATGTTGGATCCTTGGTAGCTATGTTCTCATAGTTAAAATGTTCAATTAAAGCAAGAACAAAATCCATGTCAGCTCAGACTATAGACACTGTATAATGTAAGCTAAGCTGTGTATGGCTGCAAGTCAATTGCAGAGTGCTCTTGAGTACTCTTCAGTGGAATGATTCTTGCAGGTAGGTGTTTCTTCCTGTAGATTGAAGACTCAAACTCTTCCTTTTAAACAATCAAAATTTGCTTACAAAGCTTGCTAGCTTTGTTAAGAATGATATTTTCAAGTCTTCTTTTCCTTGTTTTGTGAAGTTTAGGATGTGGTATTGGATATGGCTATTTGCACAGAATTCCAACACAGTCAGTACCATCAAAGAAAAATCCAGAAAGCAAACCACCCTCACCATTACCAGAAGCTGGAACTCCTGTACCATCTACTAATGGTTACACAGAGGTATGTAAGAAATAAGTTCCTATCTTGCGTGTTCTCTGGAGTACCAAAATTTTCTCCCTTGTTGGAACATCCATAGTACAGTCTGGTTTAGCACAGTGTACAATTTTGCTTGAATGAGATGGAGTTAGGTGAAGGGAAGGTGACTACTGATGATACTGAGCAGGTGACAGATCACCAGTGCTGGCTGATTCACATTTTAGCCAGTATTTTCTTCCTGTTTTGAAGACTTGCATGCTACAGCTGTATCAGTCAATGAGAACCAAATTAGAGGAAGACCCTTCTCATTAGGAAATAAAATACACCTACAAGAATTAAGTATGGGCTGTTCTAAGAATGTACTGACTTTAAAAAGCTACCTTGGAATATGTACTAATCAGTGGCATGGCTGATAGTTTTGGCATCATAAGTTCTCTATGAATTAATGTACTTGCGTAGGAAGGTCATCTTCAGGTGAAGCTTTCAATATAAAAAGGTGCTATTCCTTCTTACTGTGTGATTCCAGACTCCCTTATTGGCACCTGCTTCTCAGAGTGACAACTCTGAAATGGTTATGAACTTGGATCGCTCCACAGACCAAGAAATGAGTGGTTATTCACCAGAAAGCTCACTTTCTCCTCCTCCTCCTCTCCAGAGAGTTATGGATCCAGGTATATTTCCTTAGATGCTTTTTTCAGCAATTCTTTGGAGGAAATCTAAGTAACCAACACGGTCTTAAACAAGCTTGCAGGACTATGAGCATTTGCTGTTGTTTTCATCATCAGCATCACCATCACAGAATGGTTTGGGTAGGAAGGGATCATAAAGATCATCTAGATCCAATGCCTCTGCATGGGCAGGGAAACTTCCCAATAGACCTTGTTGCTCCAAGCCCCATACAACCTTCCCTTGAACACTTCTGGGGATGGAGCATCCACAGCTTCCCTGAGCAACCTGTTCCAGTGTCTCACCACCCTCACACTAAACAATTTCTTCCTAATGTCTCACCTAAATCTTCCCCCTCCCAGTTTTAATCCATTACCCCTTGTCCTCTCACTACAAGGCCTTGTAAAAGCCCCTCCCCAGTTTTCCTGTAGCCCCTTCAGGTACTGGAAGGTGCTCTGAGGTCTCCTGGAGCCTCCTCCAGGCTGAACAGCCCCAACTTGCTCAGCCTGTCTCCAGAGCAGAGCTGCTCTGGCATCTTCTTGGCATCTTTGTGGCCACCTTTGGACTTGCTCCAACAGCTCTATGTCCTTCTTATGTTGCAGGCTTCCTGGAAGTATTAGACTTCCCTGGACTTTAGAGCTGTAGAATTTGGGTACTGTGCTTCTGACTGAGGTTAAGATTCTGCAGAAGACTTTCCACTGATGCTGGCTAACGTTTAGGTTAAATTCATTCCCATTTAGTGGGAGGGGCCTTCACTGATTTCAGTCTGGATAGAACATGTATTTTTGAATAAAAAATTTTGTGTGAAGTGCAGAACAACCCTGTAATATTTCCTTTCTCCTTCAGGATTTCTAGATATGTCTGGTACTACATTTCCTGAACTCATTGACCTAACAAAAGGGTCCAACGTGTCTTCATCTGCCTCCTCCAACACCCCAGCAGCAGATGGGTTAGCAGGCACTGAACAGTTCACGTTGAACACTGACACTTCTGCTTATTTTGGTAAGTGGAGTCAAGTCTTCCTTTAGGCCTCTGACCTAATTTCTGGAATGGCACCAATTCATGCCTGCTCAGCAGGCTCATGTTTGTAGGAAACAAGCCAAGATTAAAGAAAAATCAGAGAGGGGATTGGCTTAAATGAGATGGAAAAAGTAGCAGAAATCGGGTGTAGAAGCAGTCAAAAACTAATAGGCTTTTTTGTAAGATGACAAAATGTGTCTTCTTCTATAAATAAAAATGTTGATGATACAAATTAAAGTCACCTTAAAAGTAGGTATTTTCATAAAAGTAGGTATTTTCTGTATCTCTGTATCTTTCTATATCTCTTTCTGTATTTCTGAAACAGTGTAGATGAGTTTTTGTAATCACAGGTGTCTCCACAGTTGTGAAAACAAAATTGCAGTCACCTTAACAGTGACTATTCTATCAAAAAAATACACCTTCACATTATGAATTCCTCTCTCTTCTAAAAGGTGACTAAAGGTTGCAACATAGAATAAAACATATAGATGTTATCTGAACAGCAGACCAAATGGTTCATGGTCTCTTAAAAACCTATTTGCACAGTCTGGATTTGGGGAGAACTGAGTAGACATAGCCTATGTCATTGAGGGCTGTGAATCTGGTGATGCATGTAGAAGGTATCTCAGTCCAGATGTATGGCAACCAGAGGCACTGTCTGTTTGCCTAACAGCTTTTGGTTTTTTGTAATTTCTATTTCCCAGACAATTCCACAGCTTTGGCCCCTGAAGATGTAACTGTGCCTTCTGAAGGCCCAGTCAAGCAGCCCGAGCTGGATGATCCACTGCCTTCCATTCCACCTTTACCGTCTTTTGCTCTCCCTAATGAAATTTCTCCAGAAACACCACCAGGAACTGATGGAGATAACCAAGAAACAAAGTTGATCTTAAACAGTGAGAGCTCGTTAACCACTAGTCCTGTGAAACCAGATGATGAAGCAGCATGTGAACAGAAAGAAGAAGAGGCTGCACAAGATCCTGAGTGAAATGGATGCTTCTTTTATCAACAGACTGCCCTAAGCTGGAATGCTACAGCTTGGAATATTTTTCTGATCTTGAAAGAATTACAGCTATTCTATTTTGTTAGTGTAGACAATATTATAGAAGAAATCATAGGAAATGCATCTCCTATTGTCTTTTTCAGTCACTGCTTAATGGATGGATCTGTGTTCAAGCTTTGAATGCTGTCCAGAATCACCCAGTTAATGGAGAAGTTAATGCAGGAACAAGTCAGACTGACAAAATGTCAGTCTGAATTCCTGTTTGCTTACAACTGCTCCTGGATGTATCTATGAAGGTTCTCTGCCTGAACAGTGACTCTTAATGATTATTTTAGCAGTATGATTGATGGAATAAAAACCAAATATTTATGGTTTTGACTTGGCTAGAAAGCTTTTCTAATGGTACACCTCAAATTGACATGACAGGCCTTGTGACTTTCAAGGCTTCTCCCTACCCTAAGGTATCTTTATTCCTGTTTAGTACTCTGCAAAATGGTTTGGGTTGTTGTTGTTTTAAGAGTCCCTCTTCTGTAAGTTATTAGAGTATCTTCTCTAAAACTCCTTTTGCAGGAAAGGAAGCACCATAGGGTTTGAAGTTGCAGCACAGAGATAGGACAGAATGGTCTGGGTGGGTCCTGTCAGTCACATCCTCTCTTCAGTGGAACCTGTGCTGGTCTTGCAGTGGAAAAGAGGGAGGGGGAATGATGATGACAACTGGAAACAAACTGTCAAAGATGATTTTAAATCGGGTCCATGTGTTTCCAGGGTGATTAACCTTTTCAGTGAAATGAACATGCCTTAGTTTCTGTAGTGACAGAAATAGCTTTTCTTTAGTTGTGCTTTTCTACTTACCCACTTCTGTTTTTCTACAAATCACTGGAAGTTTTAAGATAGGGGGCTGGAACATGTCAGTGCAGCAACATCTAGTGCTTTTTGTAGCTTTCTTGTTTTCTTTGCACTTTTTTCAAACAGCTTCTGAATGTAATAGCAAACATGAATGAAATACCTGGGTGTTTTTATACCCCTCAGGGCAGTGATTTATCATGTGATTTTAAAGGTGCTGATTGGGAATAACTACACTATGGCTGGTACAATTAGTGTGGTGAAGTCCTTCATAAATAAAGGGAATGGGTACAAGGTTAGGTGTGTGTATAAGCTGTAAGCTAGAGCGTACTTAGCACAACATTATCTGATTTCCTGGTGTCTGCCCTGTCTCCTGATCTGTTCCTACACTGTGCCCTATGGACATCAGTACGTGGAAGGATTGATGAGGCTGGAATCTTGTGGAACACAGGGTGGAGGGTCTGGGTCACACAGAGCTGCTTGTCAAGTTGCAACATGAGAGATCATGAGTGCACCCTTCCTTAAAATCTGTCCTTTATATTCCTTCCTCTCCATTGGTTTTAAATACTGTTTTCACATAAAATACAGTAGCTCTGAACAGGGAGGTCAGAACTATTTTAAAGTACTTTAAAATATTCTAAGGAAGTAGTTTAAAGAAACTGCTTTATACTACTTTAAGAAAGAATGCATTAAGCTCTCCTGCAGGTAGTAGATTTAAGAGATTTGAAATCTAGTCTGCTAGATCATCTGTTGTGAACAGATTTTTTTTTTTCCTATATTGTAAAGTAAATTTCCTCTTTTCTTCCCCACACCTGATTGCTATAAGGGTGAAGAGCCAAACACTAAAAATGAATAATTCAAGCTACTTGTTAAGTTTGGTCACATAAATGTTGACTGAAAACATCTAGGCCATCTATTTGTGGTTTTGTTCATTTAGGACTGTTTCTACTTTTACACCTGTGTCAAAACTGTTTTTAAGCTTGTAGTAGCTTGTTTAAGCAATGCTCTACCATAAGCAGCCTTTAGAAAATTAAGAGCAGGGAATGTCAAAACTTAAAACTAAATTTCAACTGTCACAGCAATAAATGGCTTAATATTTCTGGCAGAGTGTGTCCAGCCTGCTTTATGGTAATGGCTCTTGGAAGGAGAGGTGGGGATTTGGTTTATATTTATGTGGCTTTAGGACATTGTTCATTTGGATGTAATGAGAAAAGAATTAACATACCTGTTTAGAAAACCCAATAGAGTTAAACCTCTAGCAGCAGTATGGTGTGTTCTCCTAACCTAGGACTGTATCATTTAAATGCTAAATGAGGTGAAGATTTAACTTCATCAAATTCCTTTCCTCTTAACAATGTAGAGACTCCCTTTTGAGGTGCCTTAAGCAATCTCCGTGCTGAAAGTAGAAGGTACTCTGATAGGAGCAGAAGAGAATTGCTTAATTTCAGAACATAACCTAAAAAGAGTGGTAGAAGTTCCTGAGAGTGGCTGGGGCCAGAAAGGATCCAATTCTTCTGGAGCCACAAGCCTCCTGCCTTGCCTCCTGCTGCAAGCAGAAACAGGAGATGCAAACTGTGCTCTAGCATGATCTGGAGCCTTTGTGATTTTCAAGAGTGGTCAGGTACTGCTGTTGGATGAAATGTATCTCATAAGGCCTATGAGCACGGGCCAGTTCTGAAATAAAAAAGGTAATATTTTATGTTGGTCTGAAATAAGCAGAATGGCTGTGGAAGACAGAGCTACCTTTGAGTGAAATGGCTCGAATGGTCCATTTCTGTAAGTGGGCAGAAAACACACAAACTTGATCAAGTCTTGCCCCAAGCAAGGCTAACTTGGGAGCCTGGGCCCAGGCCCTTCCTTCTGCCAGCATAAATCTGGACTAGAAATGATCCTAACCCCCCCACACATTATAAGGAAATAATCATCCAACAAACATGCACATCTCATTCACAGCACTATGGATGCTGGACTAATTCCAGTGGAATTTGGATTTGTGAATGAATGTATTCAGTGTCTTTAAGGTGAATGACTACTGGAAAGAATTACAGAAATAACAAACTCAGGCAGAAGTGACTTTCTTTTCCCTCTTGAACCTTCCCAGCAGGCTTGCTGATTTCCCAAATCTGCTGCTGTACCTATGACTCCAGGCTGCTCATCCAAGCTGCCATACTTGACTGAATTCACCTTGGTTGTGAGAACTGCAGGAACACAGGCTGCAGAGCAGAGATCACACCACCCACATACTGCTTTGAGGTTCAGAATTTAATCTTACCTAGCACTATGGATGTAACTGGGGAAGCAGGAGACTATTCCAGCACCCCTGTGTTCCTGCACCATGGATTTAGCAGAAATGGAAAGCAGCAGAGCACCCTCCCAAAAACCTTTAGAATTCTCCTAAATGCCCTTACCCTTCTCCATCTTTCCCCTCAACTGGGCAAATATTTTCACCTCCAAGCAATTATGAAAGACCCAGGCACCACTGCTTCTGGGTGTTAAGTGAAAGCAGCTACAGGTTACTAATTGCATTTGCCATGACTGTGCTTATCTGTTAGTTCCTGGGTATTGCCACTAATGTCCACACAGCCTCCCTCCCTGCGTCTGCCTTAAGCAAACACTAATTTGCATTGGTTCTGCTGTAAAGGCAATTTCAAAGTAATTGTTTGGTGTCAGTTACATTTCTAAGCAAAAAAAAAGTCATTAACTATTCACAGTCCCATGAAAAAGATGGCTAGAACAGTGTCACAACATCCCTGGAGAGAGATCAGGCATGTCCCACCCCAGTCTCTAATCAGTACCTCTGGCCTGCATGATGTTTGCACAGCTGCTTACAAAAAAAGCCTCTTGCCACGTAGTACAAGGAAACTATTTTAGTCAATCTCTTGATATTTAAGTGTGCATGTACTTTTAGCAGGTTTGTTATCTAGATGGGTGGTAACTCCACCTGGCTCCATTCAGGAGCCTTCAGCCTGTTTACAAGTGTAAGATCATGTGCTTAAAGATTGATGGTAAATGTCAAATTTGAGAAATTTCTAAGGAAAAAGTTTGAACCAAAGGGGGGACCTTCTGTGAAAGAAAGATTAATACCTTGGTGTAAAGTACTGGCCAGAATCTGGAGTACTGGAACTGGATTCATGCAGTTAACAGTCACTCTGTGCCTTCACCTTTGGCAAATGCATTCTCTTATAATCTCCTGCATAAGGCTTATTTTGAGTATTTTGTTAGTGTTTCCTAAAAATAATGCTAAGAGGTTCTCCTGAAATGATACTCACATTTGGCTGCAACTAGTGAGTCCTGCTCTCCTGTTCTCACTGCTGCCCCCTCTGAAGATGTAACAGAAATTTACCTGTGATAGACAAATGTTCTTCTGGGAGACAGGTTACACTAATAAATTTTCAATATCTGGAAACCCAGCCTTGGCTTCCCATGTGTCTTACAGTGCTATAACCTCTCCACATCCAGAAAACTCTGGCATGAGTCACTTGCAGCACTTGTTTTTTCTTATGCATCACGTTGGTGTTTGCACAAAATACTTTGTGACCAAAGCAGGCACTGCCCATGCCAACAGCACAACTTGAGCACATTCTCCATCCCAGCAGGATCTCAGAGCTTGCACTTGAAGCTTTGCATGCCTATTAAGTTCTTATATCCAACCGTATTACAGGACTATCTTTAAGGGATCTTGTTAAGGCACTGCCCTATGGCCATGTCTTCAGCCATTCCAATACTTGAGGCTTCACAGGACTTTGAAGCCCTTTGTGGTCCAACCATTGTGCCAATGGTCCAAGCTCTGAATTCTCATCATTGATCCAATACACAAAACAACCCACATATATTTTAACTAAAGCCTTTTATTCTATACAACTGTGAAACATCGTTTACCCTTCTGGCATTGCAGACTCTTCTGTCAGTCTTTCCTGAAACTGCATTTTTGGGGATGGTTAGAGGAAAAAAAAAAACAACAACAAATTTACAGCCTTGGCTTATTTCAAAACAAAATTACTGGGAGCAACTCCAATGTATACACAATAGGACAGCAAGACAATCAGAAAAAAAAAACACCCAAACAAACAGTGCCTATTTGAACAAGCATAGACCCTTGCTATTAATAAATACAATTCAGGACAATTTATCAATAAAAGTTACAGTTCTGTTTAACCACTTAATTCACAAATATCACTAAAACTGTGCAGATATAGCACAATTATGTCAAACTGAGCATACACAGAAACAGGGATTAAAAACTGAAACTGATACTCAAAAGACAGGGAAAAAGACATGCTAGCTTAGTTCTGAACCATCTTTTTTGTTGAAGCAATGAGCTTGTTTAGCTGGGTTAAGAGTGCAGAAGGTAATAATTTGACTATTTTTTCAAAGAAAATACAATGAAAAATATTTTCCTTCTTGTTTGACCAATACAATCCCAGTAATATAATTTATTGGGACTTTCTTTAGGCCTCAACCTAAATCTTGATAGCAAGACACAGGAAGGGCAAGAGCATAATGTCTCCTGAAGAAACTCAAATAATATACTGCCCTTTGAAGGCACTTGTGCTTCTGCTTCAGACAAGAGTGATTTTTACACCATTTCTTTATGAGGATTTGTAATTTGTTCTGGCTACAAATGGTTTTCTGGGACAGCCTCACATTTTCTCACAAAAAGCTGAAATGCCTTTACCCCCTCCCCCCAATAAGTTAAACTCTACAAAAGACCACGATGAGTCTATGACAGTCACAGATTTTTTTTAGAAATAACAGTGAAAAGAAGACCTGCATAAACCTCTAACAAAAGAACAACTGCATATAAAACTTCGGCAAAGAAGAACAAGTATTTTTTTAGATCATGAATATGAAATCTGCCGAGAAGTTTCTGAAGTTTAACATTAAACATATGAAGTTATTTTCAGAATGGTCTAGGGTTTTAACAAAACGTCACACTGTTTTGGAGCACAGTTACCAAAAAATCAGACCGGTGTGTCCTCAGAACACCTCGAACACAGTGCAGGAGTAGTTTTATACATATATATAGTTTAAAAAAAAAAATCTCTTTAAGTTGCTGCAAAGCATGGTCACTCTATTATGATGCACAGCATCACTGGACTGACCCTGCTGCAATATTTATCTAGTGTTCTTTTTCTGCATGCTATAGCTCTCTAAAACAACATCTGTGTTGCAGTATGAAAACAAGTCTAATGTTAACCCTTTGTTTGCAATTAAATGAGCCAAGTCTTTCAAGTACGCAATACTGATTCTCTATTGTTTGCCAAATTTCTTTAAGTGGTGGAAATGTTGGAGTAACCTGTGAGAAATCATTGTAGGAAGTTTATGAATGGAATGTACTTAAAATATGTTGTGTGCAGTTCTGAATTGTATTGTGAACACAGCAACTAATGGCCCAACTGGTTTCATACAAAGCATGAACAGATGAGGATATTATGTTCTGGAGAAATAAAGCAAAAGGAGGAAGCAAAAAGTCTGCACTGGATTATCATCCATTCTCTGTACACCTCACACAACATGAACCACTCAGGAACTTCCCATCTCATCCATTGGCTGAGAGTAGGACAGACTTTAGTTTAAGTCATATAGATTTTTTTTTTTCCTCTATATTACAGATCTATTAGTCACTTCAATTACATGTTTACTTTCCGTCCATACTGAGTCATTAGAAGTCTCATCTACCTTAGGGGTTCAGTGGGCTTCTACAGTACTACTCTTGGAACCAGTACAGTATGGTCAAGTAAGTAAGCAACCATTTGGGTCTGCCACTCCCTTCACGTTGATTTCTGGCGATAGTGAAGGGTCAGATCCCCACCACTCTTCCAAATGAAGTGCTTTACAGTTCGAAGGTCCATATTCGGATCCAAAACCTAAAGAGCAAAAATTTCTCTTTTATACCACAAATCTGCTAGATTGTCAGAAATTCAAAGCTGAAACACTCTGGTTAGGCAAAAGAATCCTATGGGTGAGCTGACATCAAAGATAAACCATGGAGAGGCTCAGAGTTTTCTAGTACCAGGTAAACATGCCACGTTACTGGAAGATTTCTGCAATGTACCGTGTAACTTCATATTACAATCACCTCCTCAATATTTAATTTTCATTAAAGCACTTACTATACTTTAAATAGACAAATCACAATTTTGGACAACTTTTAAACTCTGCTAGCAATGTGGAACTAGAAACATCCCAAAATGCTAGAAATGGAACTCTAAGGAATTGCATTAAGTCCATTTGTTGGGTAGGAGTAACTAATCCTATAAAGGCTACTAGTCAGGCCAAATCATAATGAGCAAACTATAGCAATTCTTTGCTCTCTGCAACTGCCTGAACTTGTGCCAGCAGTCTTTTAACATGACATCAGAACATGTACCTAGTTTTAAAGGTAAGAGATAACCTATAGCATATTTCAAGCTCAGTATTCAGAAATTCATGACAGATTCACTGCTAGACATTACTGTTGTGCACAGGCTAAGACACCCAACTAACTTACCTGGTCCTGGCACAGAAGTTCAATCTTTTCCTCTGCTAGCACAGCAATGTCCTCCTCTTTTTCTTGTTCTCCTGCTTTTTCATTATTGGAAGAGCTAGTTGTCTGAGACTCATTATCCAAGTTTATGATTTTCTCATACACGTGTTCCATCACTTTCCTCACCTGAAGCATGTCACTTGCTGACAGTCGGTCTCTATATAAGGTAGGAGAAGTTTGAAAGGAAAAAACTTGTGAAACTCTTATCTTCACAATACCTTAACCTGTATCAAACTATGCAAGTACATAGATAAACTCTCTATATGTTAAATTTAATAGTAAAGTATCAGGATCAACCAGAAATCCATTATCGTAGCAGCCATCCCAAGGTTCAGGCAGCAAAAGGGACACAGAAAAATAGTAAAATATTCTAAAGACCTAATTAAAATCAACATTTAGATGAAGAGCATTGTACACAATCCTCATTTGTTCAGTAGAAAAGGGATTTGTAAGAGGACAGAGGTTATGGAATAATAAAAGCAGGGAGCCAGAACATGCTGTTCACTCTACTGCATCAACAGAGCAATGTTCTAAAGTAAGAAGCAGTAGCAGCTTTTCCTCAAAGTACACAAAAAAGCCTATGAAGTTCCTCCTTCACAAATTGTTTCTGATGGGAAGAATTCCATGAGACTTAAAAGAGGAAATAGGCATTTATGGAAAATACTCATAGACTCGTTCCATATAAATGGCAGGTTTGTTGTCTATGGCTCTGACTTCATATCCGATCTTGCTGTGACTTCTTCACCCATGTAGCTTCCAGTTACAAAAATGTGATGGGCAGAGTATCTTGCATTCCCTTACTGTCAGGTTTTGTACCTTTTCCTTTTAAAAAGCTACTACTCATCACTGTTAGCAATAGGAAACATAAAACTTTGGCTCTGAACAGTGTAACAACTAGAAGTTCCTGTTTTCTGATTAAATAGCACACACAAGATAAAGTTTCACTTCAGTACCATAGAATCATAGAACAGTTTGGGTTGGAGGGAACCTTAAAGGTCACCTACTTCCAAACCCCCTGCCTGGAGAGGAACACCTCTCACTACACCAGATTGCTCCAAGCATTAGCAGTTAGCTCTTGGACACTTCTTAGCATTAACTTCAGCAGCTCCCCACTGAACCCAGAAGAAACCTACACTTCTTTCAAATATTGTGATCTCACCGAATCATGGAATTCTCAGGATTGGAAGCGACCTCCAGAGATCATCCAGTCCAATCCCTTGCTAAAGCAGGATCCTCTGGAGCACATCACTCAGGGCTGCATCCAGGTGGGTTCTGACTTATCTCCAGAGAAGGGGACCCCACAGCCTCCCTGAGCAGCCTGTTCCAGGGCTCTGTCATCCTCACAGTAAAGAAGTTTTTCCTCATATTTAAATGGAACTTCCCATGTTCCAGCTTGTGCCTGTTGCCCCTTGTCCTGTCACTGGGAACTGCTGAAAAAAGTCTGGCTCCAACCTTCCTCCACCCACCCTTTAGATACCTGTAGGCATTAATAAGGTCTCCCCTCAGCCTTCTCTTCTCCAGGCTAAAGAGTCCCAGCTTGCTCAGAATCATTTTTGTTACCCTATATAATTCAATGTTTTAGAGTGATGCTGCTTAAATGAGTAGAAAATTCTATAAATTCACTGAGCACAAGACAGTTCTCTGTAAAACTGTCTTGTTTGGGTTTTTTTCAGCCTGCAATCATCCTGCTGCATTTTCCAGAGCCAAATATGCATTACTTACTTTTTGAGAGTTTTTGCCCCTGATGATGAATGAGGTTGGAGGTAGAAGGGAATCTTATTGAATTTCGGCATATTTTTCTAGAAGGAAACGTATTTGAAAAGTGTTAATTTAGGATGAACTGTTACAAGCTTCTATTTCCACCAGCTGGTATGTGAAGTATATTCAGCTCCTAATTAACAGAAACCAAGAGAGGTTCTTAATCAACATAACCACCACAGCCAACTTCCCAATTACTCATACTCCTGAGATGCTTCAATTTAGATGATGCACATATCATCTGGCTTTTGAATATAAATCATCATTTATTTCAAGGAAATTAGACAGCTCCACACTTGGAAAGGATACCAATTATGCACAGTGCTTTGAATTCTTTTTTCTAAGACTTTCTGTCAGAAGAAAGTCAGCAAAAATACCTTAACTAGACACAAAAAAATAATTACTCTCCAAGGGTCTTCAATACAGACCTTGACACCACTGATTTTAAATACAAACAGAGCAAAACTTTAATAAAATGTTATTTCAGATCCTGTACTGTTGAAAAAATTGTAGTTCACCTGAAAAATAAACAACAAAAAAGCAAATGATACTTACATCCACAGTGATGTCAATCACCCATTGTGGCACAGTTTCATTAAGAAGCATAGATTCAGTTTCCCCACCTGAATCTCGACATAATAACCTAAGACATACAGAAATAACCTTTGTGAATAAAACCAATTATTGCAATGTGCATTAAAAACTTTTCAGGAGAGGATCTGCCCTTTTAACAGGCAGGGAGCTTCAGTTTTGTTAGCTGGCCCTTCACATCATCCAAATTTCTGAGGTAGTGATGACTTATTTTCTTTAAAGACCAGAAAAAGTAGCTACGGGAAGAAGACATCCCTGGAGTAGAAACAGGGTGAAGCACTTCAGGAAACTAAAGGCTATGGCACAGGGAAATTAAAAACCACGAACAACTACTTTGCTTATGGATTACATCTGTTTGTGTGCTGAGGTACAACACTATCAGGAGAAGGGGAAAGGCACCTGTCCTGGTTTGAGCCAGGATGAAGCCACTTTTCCTTTGTTCCACTGTTGTCGATCCTGAGTCCAACTGTGACAACACCTGGCATAAAGCAACTATCTTCTGATTGGATAAAATGATCTTTGCATAAAAAGCACTTGCTAAGCCCTCACCAAATGGAAGGAATAAAAACAGTTTTAAGAAGTGTGCACACACAGTGGTGGAACAAAGCCACATATAATTTTATATATTCCAATTAAGCATTTTGTCACAGAGTCCTGCAGCCACCTTTTAGGTCCAACAAGCACAGCTTGCTCTTTCCAATAGTGTCTTTTCTGTGCTCTCTGGACTGTGTAAGATGCAAGATCCACCAGCACAGAATGAATGCAAATATTAACTCCAGCTACAATGTAAGTACATTGATACTGCAAGAAAAAAAATTCAGTCTTCAAAGTTGAAAAAGGTTACCCTGTTTTACTGAACAATTAACAGACTGGAAGTTACACAGATTTTGGGCCTATTCAGCCTGGGAAACAAAACCAACAAATCAAACATCCCCCACCACTCAAATTTTAAATCCACTATGTCAGTAAATATCAAATGCTTCATGGTGTTCAAAAGCCTGGCACTTGTTCTGCAGTACTATTAAACTGTCTCTGATGTATCATATATCACAGTTAGGCTTTTCAATGGAGAAGGAAAAGAAACAGAAGGGTAAATCAGCATACACACA